AACCTCTTTTAAGAGTATATCAACAACAACAACAACAAAAAAAAAAACCTGAAAAATAAAACCAGGCACATATCCTGAGTGTTGACACTTTTTTGCTAGAATATTCTAAAATGTATCCAAATCCAAAGGAGCATCAAACTCAAGTTTATAATTTATCTAAAACACAGTAGTTTAAGTTAAAAAGAATGTTAGTGTCTTGAGTATGTGAAATTCTCTCTTGGGTATGCAGGTTCTTTTTAACTAATTTTTTAGATAGGTTCAGTTCTCACTCTTTCCATATAGAAAATTCAACCCCCTAGAAAGTTGTCCTATAGTTTACTGATGAAGTCCATTGGCCTACCCCTAATTTAATACTACACTTACATACTACGTTTCTCTTTCCTTTCTAGTTGTCTGCGATAATTTGATGTTTTTCTATACAAACATTAATTTATACATTTGGAACCTATTGATAAAACCCATTTACAGCACGGCCACTTTCTAGGATTAAGATAACCGAAAATTTCTCTGTTTTAGCCCAGATTTAAAAACAGAACCTGAAACTAAAAGCTCATGTTTTGGGGGATTCGAATCTCAGGGAAGCAGGAGAGAAATGGAGTGAGATGGAAATGAAAGACTACCATAGAGTATATAATCAAGAATACTAAGCATGTTTTCAGGGGACCATTGAAATGACTATCTCTCTTAAGGGTTCATAGGGACAGAAGGAAGATAAATCATTCAGAGTTCCTGGTCCCTCCTGGCCAAAGTTACTCCCTTAGGACATTAGCTATTTCATAGTGCAGGGTTGCTCCTGCATGACCACCTTTAAAACAGTCTCCTGCTTCAGATATGAGAGAAACCCTAGTGTACACAGCCTCTTTAAGATGTGCATTTCATCACAGCTATCCGTGTAAATAAGATGTTTAAATTTCCCAAAAAATGTTTAAATATGAACCAAAAAATCATTGTTTCAAAATGCTTTAAAATATTACATTTGTATGCACTAGTTACAAATGGACAATGTAATTCTTAAAAGTGCCATTTGTCATATCAAAAATTCATGATTTCTACCAATGACTACAAATTTATATATATAGCCCTAATCAGAATAAAATTATGGAGAAATTTAAAGTCTTTGAAGCATTCCTGAGACAGATCTATACCATGGTGATGATAAAGACAATATTAGAGAGATGTTAATGAGTTTCATATTGTTTATAAATTCAGTGCAATCTTAACAAAATTTTGACAGCATTTTTCATGAAACATGGTAAGTTCATTTTAAAAATGTACATGAAAGTTAAGGAAGAAAGGAATCTGACAGAGTAGGAAGCATCTTCTCTTCACCAAGACAACTGCACAGGCAGAGTCTGTCTGATGAGACTATTCTGGAACATCACACATAAGGCTTGGACAGTAAGTAAATTTTGGTTCATTTTAACTCTTACTTCTATAGCAACTATCCACCCTTCACACCCAAAGTCATGGCAGAAAGCCAGTAAGTGACAGCTTATAGGAGCCAAGGTGTGCAAAAAGCACCCTATTCACCAATTATCAAGATTTTTTCCTCTCACCAAGATGGTTGCTTCTGATCAAAGAGCAAATTCTGATGGTTAGAATGTAATTGTCAAAATTACTAGATTATTAGGTTCAAACATGCAGTCTTCAACAACAAAAAATTCAAGGAATACAAAGTAATGTTAAATATGGCTCAATCAAATGAAAAAATATAACAGAAACTGTTCCAGGGAGGGGGCGGGGAGGACCTGAGAGCAGAAAGACTAGACAAAGACTGAAAAATCTATGTTAAACATATACAAAGAACTAAAGGAAGATCCAAAGAAAATTCAGTAAATAATGTATGGATAATATATATAAAGTACTACTATCCTAAAAACAATTTCTGAGGCAAAAAGTAAATAATTGAAATTAAAGATTCACCAGATGTTTCAAAGGAAGATTTTAATATCAGAAGAATGAATGAGTGACACTGAAGAAAAAAACAATGAAAATTATTGGCTAGGAAAAGAAAGAAAAAAGATTAATGGAAAGTGAGTGAAACCTAATCAGCATCTAACAGCTTAACATATTGTACAAGTTCCACAAAGTGAAGAGAGAGGGTACATATACAGGAAGAGAGAATATTTGAAGATCATCAGGAATAATGTAAAGGTGCCTCTCACTAGCTAGAGCCATTAGGCAAGAATAAGAAATGACATTCAAAGGGGTGGAAAAAATATATGTATTTATAGGTGATATAATTTTTTTTTATAAAGATTTATTATTTATTTGTGTATACAGAACTGGGGTACAGGCCAGAGGCTCAGGGGTGGCGAGAGGCTTCACCAGAGACAGAGTGGGGAGCAGAACAGGCAGATGGATGAAGTACACTGCTGAGGGGAGCAGCCGGCGGGTCAGGAGAGGTCTGCCGCGCCATGTGGTCACCTCCGGGGCAGGCGGGAATCGAACTCATGCGGAACCGGCCTTAGATTCTCACTGCTGTGCTTTAACCCGCTGCGCCACCAGGGAGGGCCGGTGATATAATTTTATATGAAGAAAATCTGAAAATTTCGTGCACACATACACATCTGTTAGTATAGTGAATTCAGCCTAGTGGAATACAAAGTCATTATACAAAAATCAGTTGTAGCAACCTTAAAGGAAAATACAAAAATAATTCCCTTTATATTAACAGAAAAAAAATTAATAAATACTTAGGAATTAATCATGGTGAATGACTTCTACAATGAAAATTACAAAACATTGCTGAAATTAAAGAAAAAATAATAAATGGAAACATTCCTTGTATTATAAATGTATTTAATACCAGCGAATTGTACATTTAAGAATAGATAAGGTGATTAATTTTATAGTTTACCACAAAAAAGAATTTGGAAAGTAAAAAAGTGTTCAGAACCATCTATAACCAAGATAGAGTACTATCACTAAGAGGTACTAATTAAAAAATATACAAACAGGGCCCTCCCTGGTGGCACAGTGGGTTAAAGCGCAGCATTGCAAGCTAGCGGTGGCCGCTTCAGTGCTGGTTTCGATCCCTGGCCCCGGAGTGACACACATGGGGCAGCAGACCTCTTCTTGTTTGGCCTGCTGCTCCCCTCAGCAGTGTACGTCGTCTGTCTGCCTGTTCTGCTCCCCACTGTGACTCTGGGGAATCATCTCACCCACCACAACTCTGTACCCTAGTTCTGTATGCATAAATAAATCTTTTAAAAAATTTTTTAAAATATACAAACAAATATATACACCTGTAGTTAAAGGATAGACATGAACAGGGATGTCTAAAAGAAATATAACCCTAAAGTGAATGGAGAAGGAGACAAGTACAAAGGGGTTCCAAATGTATCTTTATTTTATTTTTTTAAGATTTATTGGCCCTCCCTTGTGGCGTAGCGGGTTAAAGCACAGCACTCAGAAGCTAAAGCCACTTCAGCATGAGTTCGATCCCCACCTGCCCCGGAGGTGACCACATGGCCTGGTAGACCTCTCCTGACCCGCCCACTGCTCCCATCAGCTGTGTACTTCGTCAATCTGCCTGTTCTGCTCCCCACTCTGTCTCTGGTGAAGCCTCTCACCGCCCCGGAGCCTCTGGCCTGTACCCCAGTACTGTATGTACAAATAAATAAATAAATTTTTAAAAAATTAAAAAAAAATATTTATTTATGTATACAAGAACTGGGGAACAGGCCAGATTTGGGGGAGGGGGTGAGAAAGAGTGGGAGCAGAATAGGTAGATTGATGAAGTATATTGCTGAGGGGAGCAGTGAACCAGACAGGAGAGGTCTGTCACACCATGTGGGTTACCTCCCTGGCCAGGGATCAAACTCGTGCTGCTTGTGGCTTCATAGCACTTCATTTAACCAGCTGTGCCATTAGGGAGGGCCCAAATGATTTGAATTTTAAGCTGAACTGTGGATTCATGGATGTAGTGTTAGTCTTTATATTTTTATCATGAAATATTTCAGACAAAATTTTTAAGTTTTTTCTTTTTAAGATTTATTTATGTATACAGAACTGGGGGACAGGCCAGAGGTGTAGTGATGGTGAGAGGATTCACCAGAGGTAGAGTGGGGAGCAGAACAGGCAGATCTACTGGAATACACTGCTGAGGGAAGCAGCGGAAGGGTCATGAGAGGTCTGCCACAACATGTGGATCACCTCGGGCGGGGATGGAACTCGCACTGCAGTGGCTGTGCCTAGCTTGCAGTGCTGCGTTCTAACCCATTGCGCAACCAGGAAGGGCCCTGAAGTTATTTTTACTTAGAGACTTTGTTCAAAATATTATTTGCTGGGCCAGGAAACTTGGTCTCATTCTAACTGACACTCTTTGAGTAATATGAGACAAATCTTTGGGTTTTATTTTCTCCATGTGTGAACTATGTATGCCATTCCTTAATGTCTTTTTCAGCTCAAAGAGGAAAAAAGTCCATTGAAAGATCCCCACAATAATAATTCAATACCAAGCAGAGGAAAATATTTAAAAATAGAAGTAAAATGGTCATTTGTGTCTTTAATTTTGGTGGTTTTTTTTTTTTAAGATTTATTTATTTATGCATACAGAACTGGTGTATAGGCCAGAGGTGCAGGAAGGGTGAGAGGACACCAGGGACAGGAAGAACAGGCAGATCGTCGAAGTACACTGCTGAAGGGAGCAGCAGGAGGGTCTGGAGAGACCCACCTGGTGCCGCAGATCTCTCCAATCTCCTCCCTTTGCTCCCCTCAGCAGAGTATTCCAGTCAATCCCGTTCTGTTCCCCTACTCTGTCTCTGGTGACTCATCCCCTGCACTTGTGGTCTGTACCCCGGTTCTTGTATGCATAAATAAGTAAATCTTTTTTTAAAAATTGAGAGTAAGTTCAAGTAATTGTTCTTAAATTGCTATGTATATAACATTCCTTTTTCTTTTCTTTTTTCAGAAAGTTGGGGATAAAACAATATCTAAATCTCTTGACATGGAATCAGAACAGAGCCATTGCTGAGAATTTGATTTAAAAAGAAATCATGGTTCGACTGACCTTGAGGTTAATTGCCAAAAACAGCATTCTTAAACTACGAAAAGAAGAAACCATTTCACAATACCTGAAGAAAATAACTCACATAAACTTTTCAGACAAAAATATAGATGCTATTGTAAGAACTCTGAAATTATTTACTTTTATGTCATTAACAATATAACATTTAGAAATTGTTATAAGGGAGTATTTTCTTATTCACTATATTTTTATTATACTTATTAACTATACGTTGATTATTCAGCTTTATTTGCCTTTATTTTAATTTCCTACTTGTTATATTAAACTTATTAAAATTAACCATTGTGATTGCTATATGTGTTAAAATATGTGTTCCTCTAGAGTATTCTACATATAGCAAACCAAATGTGAAAGCATATGGTGGAAAATCATTTCAAAGATAATTACTTCTGTGTAACAATTTCAGAAACCTGGAATATGAATTTTTTAACATATCAAAATATTAAGAATTAATGAGTACCATATTTTGAAACTTTAAATGTAAAATCATTTTTTCAATTAATTTAACTGGTGACATAAGTATATGTTAACCTGTCAGCTCTATCAACAAGATTACATTAATTTAGATATACTCTGAAACTATGTTTCTTGTGTACTGAGTTAATTCTTGGATTTAATTTAAGGAACTTTAAAGGTGGCAAAAGACCCAGTTAGGCCCTTTGTATGGTATCAGATGACTACAAAAAATGCTAAAGGCTATACATGAGAGAAATTTTGTCAAAAATAAAACCTACAAGAGCTCAAGGATCATGTAAATTTTATTCATATTGCTCTAAATTCCCCAATCAATATAGTGTTGGACTCATATTAAGTAACAATTATTTACTGAATGAAAAACACAAACACAAACTGTCATTAAGGTAACTGTCCCTCCATCCATCCCAGACTTTACCCAGCTCCCATTTCATATCCATTTCTAGATTCTTAGTGATCCATCACCAGGGAGCACAAAATCATCCTGTGCTCTAGTAGGTTATGTTTCCAAGAAAAATTCTCTCATCTATAGTCTTCATCATTTTACTGTAGAAAACAAATAGCAGTACAAAAATCCTAAATGACTTTAAAGTTCCCCATACATTTACATGGTCTATTCAACTTTCTTTTGAGCCTCCCATATGTGTCTCTTTGATATGGTTGAAATGGTTAAATGGTTAAAATAATTCACAATGAGATAAAAATAGAGTGTGTGGTTAACTGCCCAAGATGTTGCATTTTTAAAAGATCTTAGTTTAATGAAATCTGTGATATTTTTAAGAAAAACTTCACTCTTTTCCTACTTCCTCTAGGCTGACTCTACCATCACACAAAAAGTGACAGCCTTATAAAAATACCTTTAATTATTTTCTTATCTTAAAGGTAATTGGCATTCATTTATATAAAGTTACATATAAAAGAGAAGAAATTGACTTACAGTCCTACTATGCAGAGAAAACCACTGTGTTAACATTTAGGAGATATCTCTCCAGTTTTTTTTCCACATGTGTATTCATGTAATTTTACAATAGTGTCTCATACTGAATATACAGCTTTTATTTTGTTATGACATAGTTTTTATTTTATTATGCTAAAGAATATTTAATGGTTTATATAGTATCCCCCTTCAATATCATTTTTACAGTATCTGGTTTTAAGTCTCTAGATGACTTCCAATTTTCAGTATTGTAAACCACAACAGCTACTTTCAGTCCTAGAAAAACGTTAAGTCTTAGTTTATAATGTTGGAGCAATAATTTTTTAAATACTTCAAATTTCAGATAGCCTAATTGTTTCCTAGGAAAATTGCTTACTTTGGGAAAATGTTTCTTACCAAATGCAGTTCTGATATAGCAGTTGAATACTAAAGCCTAGATAATACTGTTATCTCACATTAACTTAAGAAAATGCACAGACTGTTTAAGCAAAAGAAAGAAAAAGAAACTCTAAGTTTTCAGGAGGAATTAAGTATGACTTTTCTTTGTTTTCCTTTTAGGAAGACATTTCTCTTTGCAAAAACCTTAGTGTTTTATATTTGTATGATAACCACATTAGTGAAATCACTAACTTGAACTATGCCTCAAATCTGACTCATCTATACTTACAAAACAATTGTATTTCATGTATAGAAAACCTCAGGGCATTAAAGAAACTGGAAAAATTGTAAGTGTTTTTTCATTTTTTTTTTTTAGTAGTTGTCAACATTACAGTAATATTTTTGCAAGTAGGCATTTCTATTATCTGCAGGAACAGGCAAAAGGCCTTATTCTTTTTTAGTATTTAAATACAAAATAAATTGTTTTACATGTAATGCTTGACAATTTGTGCCCTACTGAGCCTAATATACTTTCCTTTTGCAGGAGGCTGGGTTGCCTAAAGGCATGTGTAAAACATCTTTGTATATTAACAATATCCTCAACTTGCAAAAAGTTTACATGGGGTCCTAATGAATTCGGTGCATTCCAAAATCACACACCTCAAGGGGGTGTGTCATAGAGTAATGCTGATGTTGATTGAATTTTAAGTGCTATTTACTGCTTATAATGATTTTTATTAGCTAATACTTCATTAGTTACTGGTAGACCCAATTTCTTCAGATTGGAAATTCGGAGATCAATAGGGGAGGAGAGAGAATGCTGTTAAAAGTGTAGATTGCCGAGTTCCAACCTAGACAGAGCAGAATCTCTGAGACTTTGGTCCAGCAATCTTTATTTATAGACCTACAATCCAGGTTATTCTTCTGCACCCTAACAAATGACAAGCACTAGCAAATAGAAAGATTATGACAGTTCTTTCTTTTAAACAAAATGTAAAAGCTTTAATTCTTATAAAAATCATAGATAACCTTTTCATTGATTCAATATTCTGCTTATGTTCTTTTCACACAGTTCAATGAATTTGCTATTATATTTATCATGTTTATATACCATAACATTCTCAGATTCCCTACTTAAAATTTTGTTTTACATTTTGCAGGTACCTGGGAGGAAATTACATTGCTGTCATAGAAGGTTTAGAAGGACTAGAAAAACTAAGAGAGCTTCATGTTGAGAGTCAGAGGCTTCCCCTTGGAGAAAAACTTCTGTTTGATCCAAGAACACTTCATTCTCTGGCAGTAAGACCATATTTGAATATTCTGATAGAGACTATAATGATAAACAGTTACAATGGAACAGGAAGGTGGTAAAGGTATATATGGACAACGTATATGCTCTGTAGGTTTATATGGCCACTTGAGAGTTTGAAACCAAAACTCCTGTTTCCCATATAATTTTTCAAAAACTCAGCAGCTGTAAAATAGGGATAATAGTGCCAGTCTCTAGGGTAACTCAAAGGATCACAAGAAAGATGTGAAAAGGTTATGTAAAATATGAAGCGCCAGTACAGATGTTGACTCATTCATAATTTGGACCTTGGTGGTTATTATGACTCAAAATTTAAAATTTTAGGGGAAAGCCTGTGGGAAAAGGAGTGCACAATTACTTGGCAAACTTTAAACAGAGAGAATCACTATAATAAGTCATGTTCTCACTGGATTTTTATTTGATTGTAGGTTATGTTATTATATGACTTTGCCTCATCAGAAGCAGTATTTCTGGGAACACCACATTTGATGCACCAGCTGTCACCTGCCAATCACTCACTTCATATAGAGGTTTCTCAAAATCTGGGCACCATAGGGTATCCCAGCTTTTACTAATCCTCAAAATGGGGTTTGTTAGGGTATGCTAACTTCAAGTCTCATACAAAGTACATAAATGAGACATTATTGGATTTATAGATTCCCTAGGTTTTATTTTATTGACTCAGAAACAGAGGATAGTGGCGAAGAGAGTATACAGTGGTTAAGGGATAGTGCTTTAAATTAGAAAGGAAATAATGGCCTGATTTTTTATACTACCTTTTTCTGTTTTTCCTCAAAAAATCAACTGTGTCTCAGTTCAGCCTCAGTTGATCTAAGCATATTGAGGAGGGGTCAAATATTGTCATAAAAAGCCACCAAAAACATTTTTGCTGGCACATTTTTTGCATAGATTCAAGCAAATTCCAAAATTCTATGAAATATATTTCTGCATTTCAAATCTTAAAAGGTATCAGGAAGTAATTTCTCTACTGGTTGGCTATGTGTGAAAACCTAGGTGAGTAAATTCCAGTATGGTGGAGATTCCTGGGTCTCAGATTTTAAGATAGGTTGGACTTAGTGTTACTCTATTGTTATGTTTATGTCCTCTTTTCACGCTGATGGGAAATTTCTTCTTAGTTATCTAATTATTATTTTAAGTGGTTTCTGAACATATGAATTTTCAAAGAAAAGCTATATAGATATTCTCTCATTTTTGGTCATGTCTCCTAAGTAGAAAAAATAAAGACAAAACTACCTGTTTCTACAAAAGTACAAATCTTAGTGATAGTAACAAAAAATGAAAATTTGCTAAAGCTGAAATAAGCTTTTTTTCTACATTGTGTGATCATTTGTTGGAGTATTTTCTTTCTTTCTTGAATTTTTTATTCTTTTTTTCTATAAATTTCTCTAATGTCTTGGAAGAAGAAAGTTGAATTTGGGGAGGAACTATAAACAAAAAGAATTACTGTAATTCTAAAAGTTTCCTCTGGGTCTTGCCTGGTGGCGCAATGGGTTAAAGCACAGCTCTATGAAGCATACTGCAGCCACTGCAGTATGAGTTTGATACCCAGCCAGGAAGGTGACCCATATGGTGTGGCAGATCCCTCCCCATCTGCCCGCTGCTCCCCTCAGCAGTGTATTTCAGTCAGTCTGTCTGTTCTGCTCCCCACTCTATCTCTGGTAAATCCTATCATCCCCCACACCTTTGGCCTGTACCCAGTTCTTTAATGCAAAAATAATCTTTAAAAAATAAATCAGTAGACGTTTCCCATAAAAAATAAGACATAGAGGCCCTCCCTGGTGGTGCAGCAGGTTGGAGCACGACATTGAGAAGCTAAAGCCACTTCAGCATGAGTTTGATCCCACCTGCCCCGGAGGTGACCCACATGGCACTGTAGACCTCTCCCGACCAGCCCGCTGCTCTCCTAAGCAGTGTACTTCGTCAGTAGGCCTGCTCTACTCCCCACTCTGTGTCTGGTGAAGCCTCTCACCGTCCCTGCTCCTCTGGCCTGTACCCCAGTTCTGTATGCATAAATAAATAAGTAAATAATAAAAGAAAATAAAAAGAAGACATAGAAATAAGATCTCTATAGCTTTTTATTTTTTTGCCTAAAAATCAAAGCAGCCTAAGCTAGACATCTTACATTTTTCTTGAATTAAGCTTTGTTTCCCACTGACAGTATTTAAGTAGTCTAATAATATTAATTTAGTTATTTTTTCTTACAGAAATCCCTTGCTATATTGAATATCAGCAATAATAATATTGATGACATAAGAGACTTAGAAACATTGGAAAATCTTAACCAGCTCACAGCAGTTGACAACCAACTTCAGCATGTCAAGGTAATGGAAAGAAAAATTAAAGATATCATGAAATTGTGATTAAGATATGTACTTCTCTAATTAGTTATAAAATATTTCACTTTAAAAACTTTTTTAAAAATATTTTTTTATTTAGGGCCCTCCCTGGTGGCGTGGTTGGTTAAAGCACAGCACTAAGAAGCTTAAGCCACTTCCGCATCAGTTCGATCCCTGCCTGCCCCAGAGGAGCTCCACACGGCGAGGCAGACTTCTCCTGACCTGTCTGCTGCTCCCCTCAGCAGTGTATTTCGTCGATCTGTCTGTTCTGCTCCCCACTCTGTCTCTGGTGAATCCTCTCATCCTCTGCATCTCTGGCCTGGACCCCAGTTCTATATGAATAAATAAATAAATCTTTGAAAAAAATATTTTTTTATTTATACACACAAGAACTGGGCCAGAGGTGGGGGGGGGGTGTGTGTGAGAGGATTCAAGAGAGACAGACTGGGGAGCAGAACAGGTGTAAACTGAAATACTGAGGGGAGCAGTGAGTTGGTGTCAGGAGATTTCTGCCATACCATGTCACCCTCTTGGCAGAGTATCAAACTTGTGCTTCAGTGGCTGTGGATGGCTTCACAGTGCTATGCTTTAACCCACTGCACCACCAGGGAAGGTCCTAAAAACTTCTGAATTTATTTTAAAACTAACTTACAAATCTTTGCTTCTCAAATATTTATTTGTATATTCTGCCCTCAGACTTACTTCTCTTTTCTATATCAGAATGCCCCCATCCCTACCAGAAGAAAAAGTTTTTCTAAGAAGGAAGTATTTTCTTTTTCCTCTCTGTATTGTGCTGCCATCAAATATTTCTTTATGTTTCCCTCGAGAGCCCAGATTTCTTGCCCCAAACACTGATCTTCCAATTACTGAGTTTGTAATAATCAACGATACTTGAACTCTGTCCTGCCTGTTCCTAGTTAGGGAAGCACCTGGATCTTTAACTTATTCTGATTTGCACTAGGTATATACCACTACCTATCAGGTTGTAGGAACAGGGGAGACAATACATGTAAAATATTCCCATATTTTAAAAGTCTTTAGGAGATGCTCGTCATCAATGGTCATATAACAGGAAGACTTGTATCCAGGACTCAGGGTGAGAGCAGAGTTCTCAATGGAAGTCTGTGATGGAAAGAAGCATTCCCTATGTCCTATGGAATACTCCAGATAAGTGGAGAAATGACCCTCAAGTGCAGTTCTTCTAAATAGCTTCACTGAGAGAAGCTTCATGGTCTTTGAGACTTATTTTTAACTTTTTCTAAATTTATATATTTAATCAGATACCTAAAATGTCTTTTAGACTGAAAGACTGTAATAGAAGCAAACTCTTGCAGCTCTATTTCCTTAAAAAGTACTTCTCACCCAGTTGATGTTTAACACATGTATTAAAATTAAATGATTAATTAACAGATGTTCTCCTAAAGGGAACAAAAAGGAAGATCATGATTGAACTTGGAGTTGAAGAATTAAAAGAGGGAAAATTACCTAAATTACCATGATCCAAAGGAATTTAAGCTCCTTTGGATTAGAGTTTAAGCTTTACAAGGAGCCAACCTACGTTGGAGTCCTGCCCTGCCTCTTGCCAGCAAAATTACAAATTGGGCAAGTTGCTGGTCTCCTCTGGATCTCTGGATCTTAGAATCCTCACTTATCAAAAGGATGTCAAAAGAGTTCTTACAGCAGAGGACTGGGGGAATTACATGAGATTATACATAGGGAGTTCTTAGCACAGTGCCTTGCATGAAATAAATCCTAGTAAATAGTAGTCAGATTAGCAATGGAGGAAACAATAGTGAAGAAATATTGAGATATGAAAAACTTAAAAAGCTTATTTTATGTCTGGAGTGAGAATCTAGGCTAATGGAACAATGTTTTATGAGATATCACAAATATTGTACCCTGATATTCTCATAAGTTAAGCTTAATAACATAGTCATAAATATAATCTAATAGATAATTTTAATATAATTCTATTGATGGGATTAGGGAAATGAAGTGTTGTAGGGCTTGAGTATCGTAATTAGAATTAAATCATTATCTTCTATAGTAGAGATTCAGTAAATCAATATTTAAGATTAAACAACATACAGTAGATGTTATTTCTCATTATAGAGGTTAAGTGTGTATAGAAATAGCTGAAGAAGTTGAAAGTGGTTTTGTTATAAGTCTTAAGGTACTCTTTAAATTTTCTAATAAAATCTATGTTCTTATTTGATTTTTTTAACTGTATTGACTGGATTGCTTTGATTTATAAAGAGTAAATGGTTGGAAAGAAAACCTGGTTAATACAATCTGTAATCATATATCACCATAAACCCTATTGGTCTGAAAACCTTGAAGAGCAAAGAATTTTTGTTGATTTCAGGATTGCACAGAGATTAGAACAGTGTTATATATAACACCTACTACATGTTTACAGAAATAATGAATACGGCAACAATAAAAATATTAAACAGCTTGAAGATAGAATGTAAAAGCCACTCAATAAGTTCCAGAGGGTAGGCTATGTGAATATTTGTTTTTCCCTTCTAGAGAGAGGATATCAGGGAGTGAAAAATGAAACCCCAATTTCTTGTACTGCTAACAATAGGACACAGCAATTAGAAACTTCTAAACACAGCACTTGGGAGTCTGGATATAGTCTTGCCTGGAATTTGTTTGTAGTGTGATTCTGTGGTCCAGTTTAAGTCATCATTTGAAGGCTTAGTCAAAGGACATGTTAAGGTTTAACATTAGACTACTAACTTGTTTCTCTGCAAGTATTTCTGGGATTAGCATCTTTATTTTTGGCTTTAATTTTTCCATTCTGTATGCTCATTGATTGAAGTTATCCAAAAACTGCTGACATCAAACCCTTTTCCATGGGAGAGAAAGCTCAACTGGCCATACATAAGGTCACTGACATGCATCGTAGGAGTCTTCAGCAACAGACAGCTTTGTGCCATTGGGAAAAAGAAATGGACATCATTAGAGAATCCTAACAAAACTGCTGTAATTACCCAAGGTTTTTCGCACTTAGAGCAACTGCTTTATATGGGCATCTCTACGTTCCTCAAATGTACCTAGAGAAAGTGCATGCCACTTTGAAAACAGAGAAAAATGGTACCTTAGGATGATTACGTAATTTTGAATAATTCCATACTGGTGAGCAGTAAGAAAGATATTTTTAAAAATTAAAAGGAATACATGTAACAAGAAAAATACTCTCTGCAACTGAAATCTTAGACTTCTATGGAAGGATTAAGGAAAGAAAAAGAAAAGAGAATGGGACATTAGGATATACAAACATGCCCAAATGATGCCTGTGTGCTAGCCTATTCATGGCTCTAAAGTCAAAGGAGACTGGTAACAATTAAGGTGGAGGCAAAGGATATGGACCTGGGGAAAGCAGGGTGGCCACCAATCTAAGTAGCCAGTTCCTCTTATTTGGGATTTGAGGGGTTAGGGTGGCAGAGAAGTAGAGGAAGAAATAGAAAAGGAAAAGAGGAGATAAATCCCAGCTTTCCTACCTCTCTTAATGTCTGTGGCCCTTCTACTCACAAGCTCTTCCAAAATTATTCCCTATGATTTTTTTCTTTATGATCCCTGTCCTACTTCTAATCTCAGATTTATTCATATATGTATGCATGCATTTATTTCTTCCATTCATTCAAAACACTTTCCATGAGGTAGCACTAACTAGATATTTGAGGAGACAATATGAGCAGAAAAGCTTGATGGAGGTCTCAGGAAGAAAAACATCAAGCACATAATTATCCTAAAACAAATGTAAAATTATACCTTTGACAAATAATACAAAGAAGGACGTGGCTCTGAAAGCCTGCAAAGGGGATTTGCCTTAGTTCTGGAGCTCAGGAAAGGCTTCGCTGAAGAAAATGATTGCTAGAGATATGCTCTGAAAGAACAGAAGGGCTATCCAGGTTAACATGTACAAAGTCAGTTGAGAATATGACAAATAGAAGCTGGTAGATTAGATGGGCCACAAAAGTGACATGAGTGACTTTGTCTTTATGCTAAAAACAATGAGGAGACATTGCAGGTGTTTAAACCAGGGGTGAAGTAACTGTAGTTAGAGAAGTGGAAAACAGTGGAAACTTGAACAGGATAGGCCTGGAAATAACATAAGTGAACATACTGGAAAGCTGTTTAGGGAGTAAAGTGGGCAGGATTTGTTGCTTTGTTGGATATAGGGAGGGTGGAATAATGAACCCCTAAGTTCTGCGTTGTACCACAGAAAATAAGAAACTCAAGAGTCAGGTATGGGAGAGAAGATTATGAGTTTCGGTCAAATAGAGTTTGAGGTGCCTTTGAAGTGTTCAAGAGAAAATATCAAAAAGACAATTAGATATTGAAGGCCGAAGCTCAGAGGACAGAAAAATTAGAGGTTTTGAGCATACAGGTTGAGTAGTCAATGAAATTACCATCGTGATGAGATTGTCTAGAGATGGAAGAAAGAGTATATGATGAAATGCTCAACAAGGCTTCCCACAAAATTTGGTTCTTCCTTTCATGTACAAATAACACTTCTTTTCTTGGTATAACAGATGCTTTATTTTCACAATGTTGTCATTATTTTTCTGTAAAAGGCCTACATACAAATGGAGAAAGATTGGTAGATTACAGGAACATTTTTCTTGGACCATTCTGCTGTGGCCCAAGAACATAAACAAACACTGAAAGAAATAAATGTAGATTACAGAAAAGGAAGCAAGTGAAGTGATCCCAGCCACAGGGCCACCTGCTCCTGCTTCCCAGAGGGAGCTCTAGTGCCTGGACGCATTGTGAGTACGTGTTATAACACTGTCACTGCAGAGACTTTCTTCTGACTTTTTCTCATTTAAATGAGTTGTTTTGATAGGCTGACTAAAGCAACAGTCTGCCAAGTAAAGCATTGGTTTTGCTGTTGTTGTTGTTTTATGAGATATGTTCTCTGTTCTCGAAAGCTATTCAGAAAATAGACTGTTCATACATTGGGTATTTCTATGGCCAGTGGTTTGTTACTGTGAGGTCAGAGATTCATGCAGGATCCAAAGAGCCTACAAAGACTGACACACAAAGCCTTAAGAGGAGTGACCAGCAGGGTAAAATGCTCCAAAGAATTGAAACTGAGAAAGCCCAAGACTGGCAGGGACAAGGTTAGCAGTGGAGGTTGACAGTACTGGACTGACAGGAACCTAGAAGTTGTGAATACAGAGGTGGTGGCCTCTTAGATACTTAAAATTCCATTTTCAGCAGCAGAAATGTAGAATCTCAGCTTCTGCCCAGACCTAACAAATCAAAACCCATACTGAGAGATCCTTGGTGACTCAAGTACATAAAACTTCGAGAAGCACTGGTCTGTACTACTCTTTCAAAAAGTATAGTGATAGTAAGAGATAGGATAAAGCCCAGAGAAGGAAAGGTAGAAATATAAATATGAGAGAAAGAAGATCCCTAAAAGAGGAAATCTGTAAAGTGAGAAAGAACTCAAGATAACTGATAAATTTGGGAAAAGAGCAGAAGTCCTCTTTTATTAAGAAAACTGGAGAAAGGAGTACAAGAAGAAGTGTGAGATTAAAGGCAGAAAACAGAAAATTCTGTGGATGTATGATCCACTTCTCCCTCATTAAAACTGTTGGCAGAGTCAACTATTGAGAAAGAGGAGAAAGATAGCTTTAGGTCAAAAATACTCCATAGAACTACCTTCTTTAACTCCCTGGGCTCCAACTTGAATGACATTTACTTTTCGTTAACATTTCTTTGCAGTTTTTTCTTTAACTTCTTTAAATAGGTGTGCATCAATACCTTAAAATACTAAACACTGAAATAACTATTTACAATGATGGTTACTAAATGGGTACTTGCATTTTTATAAGTAGCTTAATGAGCCATGAACTTCCCTAGAACCAGCATTATGTATCTTCCTGACACAATAAGGTTCAAATAAATATGGTAGTTGGATAAATGTGTACAACTTTAAAAAAAAAAAAAAACAAAAAAATCTATACCTATAGTTTTATGTTTGAAAACTTTGCTAAATCAATAAAATGATCTGAAAAGTTCATCTCACAATCAGATATATTAGTGATTTACTTCACTGGTTTTCCGATGACCATTTATCATGAAGTAAAGCATCTTCAAAATGAATGTGGGAATCAAAAGTTTGACATGCTTGCTTCTTATATAAACTAAATATTTGATTTATAAGACACAAATGAACAAAACACTATGGCCTGTCATGTTTTCCTAGTTTCTAATGTATTCAACCTCTGCTCAATATTGATCCTGACAAGCAGAGTAGCCTACAGATAAATTTATTCACTCCTCAGTTTCGTCAGGAACAAGCCAAAAATTATAGATTTTCCCAGGCATATGATGACAGGCAGTCAGGGGGATGACAAATGGCCATCTTTAGATTTAGTTAGGACAGTTGGGCCAGACATTTCCGATAAAGATTGGAGCATACTGGTCAAATACAGGTTCGTCAGCGACCATCATTAGCTGTAGAGAGAGCACTGCCAGGGCTGCAGGGGCCTGGACACCAGCCCTGCATGGGAAACTAAACTGGCTCCTCGGTATTTGCAGCATTCCTCTAAATGATAGCATGACATGATCATTTATCAAATAGAGACTGTCCAGAAAAGTGTCTGCTCTCTTTAGTAACTTATTGAAGGGCAGGAAAGTGAAAGCATTTTATTAAAGACAGGAAGGCAATGAACAACTAGAGCGTATCCAAAGGGTAATCATATTTCAGCACAGGATCAGTTTGTCTTAAATAAACATACACTGGAGGGAGTCTGTCGAGGGTCATTTATCAAGTGAGGAACAATTAACAAAACTCTGAAGGACTTTTTTTACCTACATAAATTTAAAATTCCCTCATTGTTATTACTAACTTTTAGATGCTGGACATAATAGTCAACATTACAAAAATGCAATGCACAATTCCTTTCTCTTACAGGTTTTTAGACTAAGAGTAATATTGTAATTCTCACATAAATTAAAGTAAATGACTTGATGAAATGTTGTGGAGGACAATTTAACAAATTTTGCAGAAGGAAGAATCAATTGAAAAACTACAGAGTAGAAAAAAATTTGCATTTGCATGAAGCTTTTGAAGAAAGCTTTCCCATAAAAAGTCAAGTCAGTGGATCAGAAGGTTATTTTTCCTTACAACAATTTTTGCTCTCTGCTGACCAAAATTAAGATAAAGGGATTAGAAGATGGGTGGCAAGGCAAGCAAAGAGGCAGAAAATTAACACAATTATTACTTACTTGCCTTAATCTAGTACTTTATATACACAAGAACTATTTTATCCTCACATTATAAGTGAGGCCACAGACTTGACTAAGCTCAAATAATAGCAGCACCACCATGATTTTGAGGTTGCCTGTATTTTCCCTTATATGTTTCAAATAGATTGATATTATTTATTTGGATAACTTAGTAGCACAGAAATTAGTCCATGATTCAGTAAGAATGAAGTAGGCATCTTAAAATACTTTTGCCACTTTCTAGAAGACTGTGGTCTCAGGAAGATTAAAAGACCTACCAATTGCTTTACAGTGAGGTCACCCAGTTTTTGTAATAATTCCCTAAAGACTTATTTCTTCATGTAGATACAGGCACACATCTACATGTCCCAAATTTGTTACCTTTTATGAAATGACAGAGTTTTATAAAGATTTTCAGTACGCAGAAGGGAACGCTGTCAAAGCATCACAGCAAAAAAAGAAGTTGTAAGAGAAAATCTTCATTATTTTTCCCAAAATGGGAGAAATTAGATATCCAAGCAGCAATAAACATGGCTCAAACAGATTAAGATGGGAGGTACGCGTGGTTCAGTTAAGCAGATATATTAAGAGTGATAGATAAGTTTTGCAGGTGAGAAATGGTATGGAAAATAAAAGTATCAAACAATGCATTGTCAGTTGCTTTTAGCTTTGCAAGTAGGAACATAAATTAGTCAGTTTGTATTTCCTACTTTACTCTTACACTCTATGGCAATTTTGGTCTTGACTTGAGGAAAACAAATGAAAAACTTGTTAGGTGTCTGCCTGCCGGTGGAATTTTCTTTTTTTTACTTCTCTACCCTCTCCCTGTAGTCAAAAGAATAGCAGTTTTCCTATATGTACAGTTTCATATATTTCTGGCTTATGAAAACCAGAAAGTTCTCCACAGAACTATTAGGGGGAAAACATTTGCTTTAAATAATGGTTTTTCCCCCATTTAAATCATTTTTCTTTTTTACTTTGCCTGTGGCTATTGAAGTTTTAAAAATTACTGGAAGGCTACAGAGTAGAACAACTTTTTTTTACATTGCTTGACTTGAGTAATTCATTACAAATGAAATTTCTCTGGTCTTTAAAATAAAAGATAGAACACATATATAAGAAATATCAAAAATATATACTGGTTCTATTAAGCAGTTCTAAAATTATGTATATTTTTAAGATGAGCAAGGGGAGAAAACAATGGAAAGAATGAAAGAAGCACAAGTCATTGGAGAAAGAGTGATGCTGAATGGAAAAAGAAACCCAAATTAGAGAAAGGAGACAGAGGACAAATTGAGAAAGCTGTTCCTCTGATGCCAAAACTCCATTTTGCCAAATTCATTTAGCCTGTAGACCTCATGGCATAACTTAATTATTCTTTTTAATACAAATTATCTGATTTTCTTACAAGGTGTAAAAACTCAAATGTTTATGATAGACATAAAATAAAAGTGTGACTACAATATGACAATTTAAAAAAACCTCTATGCTTAAAAAAGGAGTAGGCTATAGAACATATTTTAAATGATTTTTGGGTGATAAACATGGAATGTTTTTTCCTTTGATTCAATAATTTTTTAGTGGCAGTGCATTCTTTATAAAATAAAAAGCAAAAATATAAATTCTTTACCATGCCAATGGACTTTTTATTCACTACTTACTTAAGTGCCTTAATCTGTAAACTTTTATAAGCTCTACTACAAAAAATCTGCAGTAAGAGTGGCCAGAAGAGCAAAAGTACTTTCTTAGCTGTAAGTTCAATCTAGTAAGGTGAGCATAACAAAGAGTGGTTCTGTTGCTCCCGACTCAGGACCTCATCTTTTGCCAAAAGATATCTACTGTGTATTTTCTAAATACCTGGCACTAAGCTAGAATAATGGTTAATTGGCATGAAAAAATACTGTTAATTATCAAATACTTGTGTTTTGCTTTTTCTTCTAATTATAGGATTTGGAGTTTTTACTGGAAAAGTTGTTAAAACTGTGGAAAATGGATCTCAACGGAAACCCTGTTTGTCTCAAACCAAAATACAGAGACAGACTTATATTGATGTCCAAATCACTGGGTAAACATTTATATTCCATTAATGTAATTTTCTTAGAGAAAGGAACCTGTCTATTTTTTACTTAATTTACTTCAAGCTTTTAGAAACATAAATATGACATAAGGACCTATGGCCAATTTTAAATTTGATATTTTGAATAAGAGCAAAAGTTAAATTTGAGAAATTAAGCATGAAAATACCTGCTGTTTAGAAATAATTAAGGCACCAAACACTCTTTCTTTGAGGGTTGGCTGTTATCAACGAAAATGACTGGTCGTAAATGTGTAGTATTCGTTGACCTTTTGCCAAACTTTCATTGGCACAAATCCTCTGAAGATCCCAGGAGACTCTTTAGCTCTCAGGTCTGCAGATAAAATTGATCAAGGTTTTTCATGGCTTGACACTTGCCAAATGATACCCTAAAAACATACAGGAGTCTTTTTGATTTAAGAGGGGAGGTGGGTGGTGGGTCCCTTTACAAGATCCTTACAAATACTATCATTCCTGAATATGCATTGTCCTGGGGGAAATGAACCAAAGCACTTCAACAAAGACCAAGTTATCCAGCCATGAGTAGACAAGCAATGCCCTTTCACAAAGTATTACTTATAACAGAACTCCCGTGACATGCTGTTCTTGGGTATACAAAGAAACAGAGATGTCTACATTTTAAAAGTTCTATAGGTTATTCTGCTATGCATCACCCCTACAACTCTCCATCTCCTGCCCTCTCTGTATGGTTTACTCTTTGAAAACAGAACAAAAATTATAAAATGTTGGATGATTAAGAATCTCTGGATGTTCACATAACTATTACTGAAAACATTGCTCATGACATAGTACTATGAGCTATGCTATAAAAGACATGAAGATAAATATACAAATTAAGAGGACTCATTCAAAGATCCTTTTAAATATACACATAGAATGTTATATTTTTATAACATTCTATGATTAGCAAACTTACATATCTCTTGTAGATAATGCAAAGGAATGGGGGAAAATTCACAGATCCTTTTTCTAAGAATAATAATCATAATTTATAATAATCATAATGTGTTCATATCTAAATGAATAGGTAACACTGAATTTTTAATATAACATTTTATTTAAAAAATAACACTAATTTACATATTATAGGTGATGGAATGGAGGAAGGGCTAGAAAGGGAATTATTTTTGGCAGTGATGGGAAGTTATGAGTAGTAATTGCAGAACATTTTTATGTTTTTCTATCATGTTTCAATTGTTTTTAATAAGTACATTCTTTTTGAAATAAGAAAAAAATCTAAAAATAAAAACACAGAAATTGTATAAATAAGGTAAGAATTTATTTAATCCTATCTTGTAATTAGTTTGTGTGCCCTAAGCCAGAAATTATATATTTTTTACCTGCATACTTACATTTATATATTGTGGGTTTTTTTTGTTTTTTTTTTGTTTTTTTTTAAAGATTTATTTATTTGTGCATACAGAGCTGGGGTACAGGCCAGAGGCTCAGGGGTGGTGAGAGGCTTCACCAGAGACAGAGTGGGGAGCAGAACAGGCAGATCGACGAAGTACACTGCTGAGGGGAGCAGCGGGCGGGTCAGGAGAGGTCTGCCACGCCATGTGGTCTCCTCCGGGGCAGGCGGGAATCGAACTCATGCGGAAGTGGCTCTAGCTTCTCAGTGCTGTGCTTTAACCCGCTGCGCCACCAGGGAGGGCCTATATATTGTGTTTTTAATATACGGATTTTTCTCTAGAATTTCTGGATGGAAAAGAAATTAAATATCTGGAAAGACAGTTCCTAATGAATTGGAAAGCATCTAGAGAAGCCAAAAAAATGAACAAGAAAAGAAACATTAAAAATGAAGATGGAAGTAACTCATACATAAGTAAGGTTCATTAGTTGACCTCTTCTACTCAACAAAGATAACAAGAAATAAGGGTTTTTTGTTTAGATTATTTTGTTTGATTTTTTTTTACTTATTTATACATAAATAATTGTAATTCCTAGGAAATTTTACCTGTATCATTTATCTATGAAAATGGCAAACACTATCAACAAAAGCTATGTTTGTTCACACTGAGTATGACCACATCAGTTATGTAAACATAGGGTAATGAAGGTGGGAGAAATGTGTCATTTTATATCTGAGTGAAAGTCTGAAATATTAATTATGTAAATGGTTAAATAACAATAAGCTATGTAAAATGGAGAGACTTAAACCACTAGAATATTTGTTTAGTAATAGTATACAAATCATATTTTTCATCAGAATAGAAAATAAAATGTATCATAATCACATCTGTGGCTTATACTCTATAGCTAAGTATATTGCAACTAAAATTAGCTAAATGTAAATATAACAATTATTTTTATCATATGGGGCAGCATCGTAACTATTTACAGATTCTGTAGTACACAGCATTGGAATAAAGCCCTTCCTTCATTCCATTATAGTGTTTGAATATTTAATAGATGGGGCATTGGAAGCCGGTAGCCAGAGGAATAGGAAAAGGGAAGCTAGAATGATGTAATGAAGTTTTCTGCAGAACTGTCACTTTAGGAGGCTGAGATGAAGAGAAGCACAGGTGAAAAGGTCCATTTGCAGTATGAGATTGCACTATATTATGTCCACTGAGTAAGAACTCTGGAAAATCATTTCAAAGAATGGAACTTACTTAGCTACCAAGGGTAATCTGTGATAGCAATGTTAATTACTCAACATCTGCAATCTATGAAATAGATAGGAAGCATTTCTCCTCCTCCATTTACCCCTGGCTGGCTGTGAAACGCAAAACCAGCCCTAGAGTAAGGAGTCCAGTGGTTTACATTAGTATTATGCCAAAATGACAACTTATAAATACTGACATACTTATAGAATTTACCACCAGCCCTCCCCCATTCCAAACCCTATTCTAAAAATAACATAGTTTGCTTCAGCATAATAGATTTTTAAAACTCTTCTTAATTTAGGGATAATTATTAAATTTTTTTCCAATGAAATTTAACAAAATAGTAATTATAATGTGCCTTAATGTTTTCAATTATTTAGAATTACATTTTTTCAATCAAATCTTTATCAATCTCTATATGATCTAATTTACAAAAACAAATCCATAAAGCCATAAAGATAAACAATGAATTATTTGAAAAAGAAACTATGAAAACAATAGTGTTAAAAAGAATAAAATGTTTAGGAGTAACTTTAACTAAAGAGTTAAAAGAAATATATACTGAGGACTGCCACACACTAGTGAAAAAAAATTAAGTCATGACAGAAAGAAAAGACCTTACCAGAGGATGTAATACTGTTAAAATATTCTTCCGCCTATAGCAATCTACAGATGCAATGTGATCTCATTAGAATTTTTTACAGAAATAGAAAAAAAATGTCTAAAATTCATATAGAACTACAAAATACAACAAATAACCTAATCAACCATCAGAAGAGGAACAATGCTGGAGGCATCATACATCCTGGTTTCAAAATATATAACAAAGCTACAATAGCCAATATAGTATGATACTAGCATAAATGAGACATATGGACCAATGGAACAGAATAGAGATCTAAAAATAAATCCATGAATAAACAGCCAACTGTTCTAAACAAGGGTAACAAAAATACATAATGCATAAATGTCTTTAGCACCTGTTATTGGGAATTTGTATATCCACATGAAAAATAATATGTGCATGTGTGTATATATATATAATATATAGATAATATATAGGTATATTATATATATACATACAACACAAACTAAAATTTACAAAAGTCAACTCAAAATGAATTAAAAACTTACTAATAAGAAACAAAAGTTCAAAACTCCTAGAAGAAAACACTAAAGAAAACTTTCATGAGTTTGCTGTTAGCAATGATTTCATGTAGATGATATCTTATATGAAAACCAAAAAAGCACAGGTGAAAAAAATAAACAAGTAGAACTATACCAAGCTAAAATTCCTCTGTAAAATAAAGGAAATAAAAGAGTGAAAAGGCAACCTATAGAATGAGGAAAAATACTTGCAAATTATAGATCTGATATAGTGTCGAATTCCAAAAAATAAGTGACTCCCCAATTCAATAGTAGAAAACAAAAAGCAAAACCCTAATCATCTGATTTAAAAATGGACCGAGAATTTGAATAGACACTCTCTCAAAATGTCTATTTTGAGAAGAGATATAAATAGAAAGCAAGTACATGAAAAATGCTCAATGTCACTAGTCATCAGGGAAATGCAAATCAAAACCACAATGAACTATACTCAACAAATGTTGAGATGACTGTTAAAAAAATCAAAAACACAAGTCTTGGTGAGGATGCAGAACTGAATCCCTTGCACACTACTGGTAGAAATGCAAAGTGATGAAATCACTATGGAAAACAGTATGACAGTACCTCAAAAATTTAAAAATATAGACCTACCATATAGTTCAATAAGCAAACATACTTACAGATACTTACGGAACAACTGAATTTGTGATCTCAGTGAGATATTAGTACTCTTATGTTCACTGCATTGCCAGTCACATTAGCCAAGATATGGATGGAAACCTAAATGTCCACTGGTATGAATAATATCACTGCATGAATATATATGTACCAGAATACTATGCATCCTTAAAAAAAGGGAATTCTGAATGTGACGTGAATGAACCCTGGAAGCATTATGCTAAATGAGATAAGCTACTCTCCAGGAAGACAAATACTGCAAGATTTCCTTTACCTGGGAAATTAAAAACAGTCAAATTAACTAAGTAAAAGAGTGGAATTGCTGGTTGCCAAGGACAGGAGGAAGGGAATATGGGGGAATTCACTTGACAATGAAATTAAATAAGCTTGAAAAAGCCTCTGTACAAAGTTGTCCTATAATTAACAATATGTATTGCACAATGTATAAATTTGTTAACAGGATAGATACTATGTTAAGTGTTCTATCACACATGTACACAAAGCCACTTCATCACTTCATACTTTGTTGTTGTTGCTATTATAATAGCGATTAATAATTTAAAATGCAAAGCACTCAGTATAGAGGCAAGGAAAGAAATATGAGCTGACATTTACTGTGCCAACATTTCAGATATTTATACACATCATTGCATTTAATCATGATAACCTGTGGGGTACTTGATTATTACATTCATTTTCCAGAAAGCTGAATTTTAGAAAGTGAATTAGCTTTTTTTAAAATTGAGGAAATACTGGTTTATAAAACTGCATATGATACAGAGGTACAGGATCACAACTGCTCAGATGTCTATTACCATATCACACCCACCACAAAGGTTCTAAGAGTCTCCAGCATAGTCTATTGCTTCACAGACTGTTCTTCACTTTCTCCCCATATCCCTCAGGTAGCCTCAATTCTACAGTTAGATTTCTAGGAGTAATTATTGGTTTGGTTCTGTCTGACCATTTGATTCATTTCTCTATATTCTACACATAAGTGAAACTATCCAGTAATGTCTTTCTCCACCTAATTTATTTCACTTAATAAATTGTTAGTATTCATCTTTTTTATACCTAAGTAGTATTCCATGTGTACATATACCATATCTTTCTAGTGCATTCACCTGTCATTGGGCACTTAGGTTGTCCCCATAAATTGGCTATTATAAATATTGCTTCAATGAATACAGGAATGATATGTGCCTTCAAAATAACGTGTTTGCATTCTTCAGGTAGATACCAAGGACTGGAATTTCTGGATCTTAAGGTTGATCAATTTTAATATTTTGAGAAATCTCCATGCTGTTTTGCACAAAGCCTGGACCAGTAAATATTCCCACCAACATAGTATGAGGTTTTTTTTTTTAAATATCCTGTTTTACGTATATATGCATGTATGTATTTAGGAAATGCGAATATAAATATAAATATAAATAAATATATATATACACACACACACATATATATATAAACATATTGATATATTTAGGTCATTCTCATAGGTGCAATATGACATCTCATTGTGGTTTTAATTTGTATTTGCCTGATGACTGGTGATAATGAGAATTTTTTAAATGTGCTTTTTGGCTATCTTTATATCTTCTTTGTAGAAGGGCCTATTTAGTTCTTCGGTCTTTTTTTTTTTTTTTTGATTGGGTAATTTTTGTTGTTGAGTTGTATGAGTTCTTTGTAGGTCTTAATATCAGTCCCTTTTTGGATATATGACATGCCAAATATTTTCTCCCATTTAGTAGAGTGTCTTCTTGTTTTAATAATAATTTCTTTTGTTCTGCAGAAGTCTTAGTTGAATGTAATGCTATTTATTTATTTTCTCTTTTATTTCTCTTGCCATTAGAGATGAATCCACAAAGACATCTCTATATACAGGTTTTGATGCATGCAATCCTATCAAAGTTCAATGCCATTCTTCAAAGAAATATAACAAACACTACTGAAATTTATATGAAACCTTAGAAGATCCTGAGTAGCCAAAGCAATCTTGACAAAAAAGAATGGTGGTATCACCTTCCTAGTCTTCAAATTATACTATAAAGCTATAGTAATCAAAACAACATGGCTCTTTTATGGAACTATTAACGATATACTTATTGAGCATCTCAGATGTGCTAAGAATTATAGGAGGCACTAGAATTTGTAGTGCATAACACAATCCTTGAAAGGAATTAACTGCTAAAAAGGGAGAAGGATTTGTAAACAGGAAAATGAGGTGGAATATTAAGTTGTGAAATAAAAATATTAACATATTACAAAAACTAAACATGAATAATACCTAAAAGTTAAAAACACAACCTGGCTATAGAAGGGAAGCAACCAGAGGGAGAGTGGTGAGGAAGGGCCAAAAACAAAGTCAAACGGAGCACAATGAACTAAGATAGTGGACTATGGGTACTTTGGTTGTGGTTACTCTATG